TATTTATTATGAAACTGTGAAGAAACACAATTTCATACCACTAAAATTTTCAAATCTCCTGACAATATTAAAGATTCCCATTGTGAAAATTAGAACAACACATATAAGCGAACAATATTGTTTCCGACTAGATCGTCATCAGGCTTTATTCCAATATACATGAATGTTTATATGCAAATGTTAAACCAATCAAGGCAATTTGAGTCATAATCACAATGAAATGAAAAAGATTACATCACTAGATATAATAGGCAAAAGTAGAAGTGGATAGTAGGAAGACAGGTGTACTGATAGTGGTAAGAAAATTATAAAATATGATAACCAAAGTTTTTTCAGTGGTAGGTCAAAGGTAGATGAATAGACTTCAAATAATAATTAAAAGCATCAAAACCTTTACGTAATAAGCAAATGTGTAAAAATAAAAAAATAAAAAATTATGTCAACCCTTATTTAAGTCATATCTGGCCACGGAAGAGATAGGCGTGTCACGAATTTTTTCTGAACACATAAATTGGGGTTTTAATCCACGAATTCCTATGGCCTCTGCTATGTGTAGGAGACGGGATTGAAATCCGTTGGGAAATGATGGAGGTATTTGTTAGATCACCCGAAAAGATCTAGATTTATCTACAATGTGACCACTATTTATCAAGTGTGCTAAGACAGAACTGCGTATTGTTTTTGACTGACCCTTCTTAAACCATGCTGGGAGATGTTCACTCATACGTTGGGTAAGTTGCCTCGAAGTACGCTCGATATAGCTATCTCCACAGGAGCAGCTGAATTTTTAAATGCACATAGAGGAGACCAACTCAGGTAACTTGTCCTTCGTTCGGGTAGTCATCGCTGGTCGACTGGAGTTTGGCAGCGTTGAATGAAAAAAATTAGTTATCATATTTTATAATTTCCTTACTACTATCAGCACATCTGTCTTCCTAACATCTACTTCTACTTTTGCCTATTTTATGTGGTGATGTAATCTTATTCCTTTCATTGTGACTATGACTCAAATCGCCTTGATTGATTTAATATTCCATAACGGATTAAGAAGTTTGAATTTAGGTCTTTAAAATAATATTTGACTTCAGGATGATGCTGAAACATATAAGGACTACTAAACCTTGGAACCGTACCGAGAGAATAAGAATTGAGCGCAAAAACATCAATTGGTTTATACTCGCTCGTAAAAAATATTGAATATTGGATTGTTTAACTAAGCGCAAATATTGATCACCATGTGAGTTAGTCGTTTGTGGTTGTTGTTCAGTTCGGCTATGTTTTAATCACCTTAAGTTATTTACGCAGTGTTTTATGTTCTCTATAAATTTATTTCCGTTTGTTAAGGAGATCACATTGGCTCTATGTTTTGTTATGTGTCACAGCTGTTGACAAAGATTTTAAGCTACTTTTAAGTTTTCAGTATGTTTAGCCAGTTCCTTCTTCAACCTGGTAATTGTTTGGCCTTCTGGTAATAATCTCCATCGTTTTCTGACTTGTATGTTTCAAATGTTTTGTTATACATAGAGGATAAACTGGAACATTCCGGTATGACTTCGAGCAAACCATAGTCAGTTCTTTCAAATCTATTACTGAAACTTTATCAAATGGAAGGAGAACTGTAACTTCCGCCATATTTTGCTGGCAAATTTCATCAGGCACAACTAACGGTATCTTGGCTTCTGTTTGTAATAAACAAACAGACAGTTACAACGCAGAACTTCGTGCGCAAGTACACCAGTTCAGGTTGCCATAACGCATCAACACACAGTTTCAACTGTCAGTTCGAATCAGAGAGTAATAGTGAAAGTAGAAAAATAAGCAGCAATGGGAAAGATTAGTGAGCGAAGATATTATTCGGGAAGTATAATTCTGTGAGATAAATTTAGAACGAGAAAGATAGAGATAATGAGGGATTCAGAAGGTTAGAATTAGGGAGATTATAAAGAGTAAATGCGATTGCGCCATTGTCAACGATTCTGAACCATGTCATTCAAGGTCTCACCCGACCAGTAGTTTTAGAGCAGATAGCTTGTGTAAGGTTAATGTACTTCTTTGGTACACCTTTCAATGACAGACACTACCACACAACCTCACGATCCGAAGAGTCGAATGCCGCCTTAAGGTCCAGAAATACAACTATTGTAGGACGCCTAAACGTATGCCTGTGTTTCAGGACCTGTCGTAGTATGAAAATGTGATCTATACAGCCATGTCCAGGTCGAAAACCAGCCTGGTTTTCTCTAGTCTGCTCTTCACGAGCTTTCGTTAAGCGTCTAAGTACTATTGACGGGAATATTTTAGATACTATATTAGTTAGACTGATTCCGCTGTGATTGTCGCAAGATGACTTTTTTCCTTTCTTATAAATTAGGACAATCGGGGATTGAGACCAGTCGGATGGGATTGTGTCCAGTTCCCAGATTCTACCTAAGATTTCAGTCAATCTAGCTGCTAAAACTGGACCACCATCCTTAAAAATCGCAGGAGTCAATCTATCGGGTCCTGCTGCTCTCTCTCGCTTCAGATTTCCTAACGCTTTCTCAACTTCATGAAGACTAGGGGGACTTACGTCGACTTGCCATTCAGGATGACTGGCTAGATATTCGTTTGCTGACTAAAGGACGAGTGTACTGCGCAGTAAGTACTCCGCTCCGTCCTACTTTATGGCTGTGAAACATGGCCAGTGAGAGTAGAAGATATTCGTAGGTTACTGGATTTCGATCATAGGTGTCTTCGGACCATTGCGCGTATATCCTGGGACAACCGAGTGAGCGATACTGTTATTAGGAAGCGGGTGCAAGGTAAGAATGGCAGGTCAATAGATGAAGCATTGAAAATTCATCATGTGTTACGTATGCCTAACCACCGACTGCCTCGACGAGCTTTGTTTTGTAGTGTAGTAGTAGGTTGGAAGAAGGTTGGGTGCGGCCAGACCAAAACATGGCGGAAAACCATGAAGTCATTGACAAGTGGACTGAGTCATGTCGGTGGTTGTCGACTACCTGGTTGGGGTCCGCGAGACGAAAGTCACCAATGGTCAGAGACCCTGAATGACATACCTCAAAACCGTTTGCGATGGCGCCGGTGCATTTATTCCTTGTGTTTTCTCAAATCTTAATCTTCGGGATTCTTCAACACCTCTGGTTTTGAATTTCTAAACTTATCTCGCTGAATCATACTTCCTGAATAATATCTTCTAATCCTAACCTCTCCGATTACTTCTAATACCTTTACTACCTCTACTACTATTGGATTTGAATTGACAGTTATATCTCTGTGCTGATGTACTTACGTACGAAGTTCTACGTTGCATCTGATCGACTCATTCTAAGCTCTCTCAGGGTGGGCATCACTTACTAAATGGCTGTCTAACTGTTTTTCTAGTTGTTCCTGAAACGTATTCTTAGCTTTATTATCATTAAGACTAAATGCTATACCTACACCCGCGAGATCCCGAGAAGCAGCATCAGGGCTTCCAGATACACGTGGAGCAAATCGAGCTGCTTCTTTGCTTTGATAAGGGGAAATCAAATTAATAACTTGACTAGGATCTTGTATGCGCGTTTCCGAGACGCAGCATACATCGATTCAGCGAGATTCTGATGTCCTAGCTGAGGAAGCTTGTTGTCCTATTTTACACAATGTCCGTACATTAAAAGCCCCAACATGCAGTCTAGAATGGGTTTTTGGGAGACCAGGATTGACGATCATTGAACTCGCATTGTTTGCATTAGCGGCGCAGTGTGATAAAGGAATGTGAGAAGAGTTAATCGTGGATATAAAGAGTGATATTAGGGTGTGTAGGAAGAATTTGATTATGACCGATTTGGTCTCGCGTGCTGTTAAGGTTATGAGTGCGTTTGTCACTTTCCAGCTGCCCACACCATGGAAGGTTGTTTCTTGAGGAACCTGAAAAGGAAGGTAGCTTAGTGTTGGTCTTAGAGACCTGACAGCGTGACCGCAAAGCACAAGGGACAACTGCTTGAAGCCGGTCACACACTGCCTTTTTATTAAACGTTTTTTGATTATCAGCTCCGCTCTTGAAAGCCATTAGTGGGCACCCTTACCACCGGAGACGGAAATCCGTGAGGCAGGGTGAGGTGTGACATTTTTAGGGTCGACCTTTTCTAACCCCACCTTCTTTGTGAGAAGGCAGCATCGCTGCAGATGCTGGTTGTCCGAGGGAAACACCTTACTGCTGTCACACCTCTCCACAGTCAGCAGTACGACTTCTCCTTAAGAAACTTAGTAGCTGCTTTTAGTCTCATCGTTCTGCAATCGACCTTGCTGGCATGGTAGAAGCTACAGAAACATGTTCCAGCCAATATAGCTCAGTTGGGTCATCACTATAAGCAACCCGGACCACCACGTAAAGGTAGCAGCATTGATGCAGATGTGATCAATTTGGTTCTCCGTAGAGTGGTCCGGTAAAACTCATGTAGCTTTGTGTATGTGTTTGTCCTAAATTCTAATCTTCTAAACGAAATTCATCCCGAATCATATCTTTAATTCCTTGTTTTCAATTACCGCCGAAACTTTTACTATTTCAACCACCATGAGATATGAATTGATAATTTGATCTGTATGCTTATGTGGTAAGGCAGCTTGAACTGATGTTCATTGGTACCAAGTTCTATATTGCAACTCTTTAACTTACAACATATTCTCATACTCTTGTGACTTGATGAAGTTTGCCCATTTTCCTGTCAGTTAGAACAGCCGAGTATGATCATTTACCCATATGAATGTCCGGTTCATATACATGTACTTGATTGTTTACATTCCTGTTGTTTGCTTTACTACCACATGGTTTTCATCTTCTTGTATCATCATGGGACACTATTCTTTCCTCAAAGTAAGACTTATTTTTGCCATCAGCCATTTCTGTAACGTAGCTCATTATTATTTTTTTTAGATCGGTGTGAACAATAATGTAAGTTTCTTTGAAGCTGCAGGTTCCACTCAAGATGGGGGAAATGGTCTGTGGATATCATATATAGATGGATCGTGCACTTTTCAAATTAAGCTATCGGCTTGTTCTTCTTATCTTTATCACATCCGGTAGCTGTTTGAATTCAAATTCACCCACCTCATGTCTTAATATGGCAGGTATGTTAGTAAAGTTTGTCGTAATTGCGTTACGTAGAACGATCAAAATGGAATAGATCTTTTCACTTTAATAACCAGGAACTTCGTCTTAAATTGGAAGTTACAAACCGATCATCGCATTGGATTGTTAACTACATATTTGAGATATTGGCACGTGAAAGGCTTGGTTATCAGTTTATCGAATTTGTCAAACAGGACATAGATCATCCTAGACAAGCAATTAGTAGACTAGACTGCAAAGATACTAAGTAAGTTAAAAAAGTATGTGACAATTAGAATCTTTTTATATGTGGATTCACCGCATACGGTCATACTGACGTTGTGTTTATCTCTTGTTCAGAGCTATACAGATTCATCTCTGATGAATGTAAACGTCACATGTGTTCAGAATTGTGCCAAAGGAATCTACCGTCATTAAATTAGAATTCAACAATGCATTTATTTTTTTGCTAAAATCAAGCAACACTTGTTTGTTTATTTCCCAGTTGACTTTTGTTTTGCTATGTAGATTGGAAGTGTAACTATGTGAACTGAAATACGTGTGTCTGGGGAGAGGTAAAAATTCCACTTTCTGAAGTAATTCACTGGGAGAATTTTTATAGTAGGAATATTTTGATAACAATTCGTTAATGTGGAACATTCATCCTCTATAAAGTACCTTCCCAAATACTGATAAATCGCCGTGTGATATTATAAGGTTTTTATTCATATTTCATTGATGGGTGATCTCTAATACGAGATACCTTGAGATGAGTACTTACAACTTACCTTCTTTTAATATAACGTTAAATTTTGATTAGGCTCTGCTTTTTCCATATACTCACTTTTATAGCTATGTGATTATTCTGAGAAAAGAGCATTACAAGTGGTTGATCTACGTGTCAACATATCTTTTAGTTAACAATTCCTTAAACATAGTTACTTTCTCTAGAATTCGCCCTTTAATATTCTTGTTTATCACTTGACAGCATCGTTTTTGTTTCGTGTTAGTTGGTATTTGCTGAAACTTGTATACTAGAATTTCATGTGCACACCTTTTTATACCAAAATATTTTTAATCCAGACATATTTTTTGTACCATAAAAGCTTGTCAACAGAATGAATGTATTTGTAAGGGTTTATAAATTTCTATTTCACACTTCACGGAGTTTGCATCCTGTTGGTACTGTTAATGCATTCACAAAGTTAAGTTCAAAGTCATTGCCATTCAAATCTATACATGAGCATTTCAAAGATTTTATGTATTCTTTGTAACACATTACAATATAAATATTTCGGTTATTAAAGTGCTATATGCAAATATTGGTTGCTGAAATTCCTTCTGGACCTTTTATTTCGGAACCCTAACTAAGGATAACTAACTAGACGAGCCCCATAGATTTTCAAGCCTTTTGTAAATAGGATTGTCAGAGTATTTTGCTGGCAGTTAGTCGGGGAATCTTTACTTCTGAGTTATCCGAGTATATTGAAGATGCTCGTCATATATTCGGTGTGTGAATCTACACAAATAGTTTATGAAAATGTCGTTACCCTATGGTTTAGCACTAAACCTTAGTAATTTCCATATGATCCGTTGCTGATTATGAGTATCGTACTAGGATTACACACCAACTAATCTATTTTCATCCTTTCAAACGAATTATCTCTAATCCTTTGTTTGTATTCTGGTTTCGAATGTAGATGCAAACTAGTTGGTTATGCACCTAAATACCATTGAATTTTTGTTTGCAGCTGTTTCAAACTGCCAGATGTCCACATAAATCTTGAATTATGGTTATCTTTGGGAACAACCACAAGTTTTTGGGTCCCGCCTAATAGAGTGATAGATAATGGACCGTTAGGTCCAACCAATCGTTGGGCTATTTCCTCCAGGGAAGAATTTATATCACAGGTCTCCGCATTGACAGAGGTTTGTTGTGTGTATTAAGTTTAACTTTTACGTTTTGGATTTTTGTGTGATCCTTTACAGCAACTAAACCATTGTGGTATATAGTAACAATATTAATCTTGATTGAGCTTTTAACTCAAGCTATTTGTAACGCTTTTGATATCTGTTCATTATCATTTCGTTAAATTTTATTCAAATCAGAACGTTTTGTATCAGAATTAGTTCCGTCATATAATCCTCTTATTGTGAAATCATGTGTGCAATTTGTCGTTGATCTCACCGTCCTCACCTTGACGCAAATTGAACAATAGACAATCTTGACAACGGTTTTAAGAAATTTCTTTACTTTTGTTCACAATATCTCAAAAATCCGTATTTAAAATCGTTGCAAATTTCTGCAGATTCGTTCTCCATCTGTCGATTAGTAATTTATATCCTGTATCTACCTTCTCAGGATCCTGTAGAATCACTATCCAACCTGCCTAGGATTAGTGTTGCGCTAAACCCTTTGTATTTGCACTGAAATTTTTTTATGTACTGGCAGATGAGATGGTTTCGTTGGGGGAAGAACGAGCTATCGTGGAAGGCAACGGCTTTTCGTCATGTTTGCCAACACCAACGGGTCGTGGATCAGTGAAAATGAAAAATGGATTATTACCATCAGTTGATAATAATGTGTTCAGTGGTTATTTGAGTGAATGTGTATGAGACTGCCATGTTTTGAAGCCCTTATGTTGATTCTGGTTATGTTGTGGCGTGTAACAGATTCATCTTGCGTTTCAGTAATCAACAAAATCATTGGCATGAACAGACTCCTGATCCCAACTACCATCTTAATATTGTGGTTGGCGTTGTTTATCATGATGGCCCAGTCTAGCTATATTAGGTGGAACACTCATTGTTCGCAGGTCGGTTAGACAATAGTAAAAATAAAAGCCATGAATTATGGTCAGAGAGCCACGTCGTACTCCTAACTGCATGAGGTGTGTGAAGGCAGATGGATGTTTTTCTCAGAGTTGGCATCTGCAGTAACGTTAGGTGAAAATCATCACAATCCATGCAGACGAGTTTACAACGATCATATTTAACTTAAGGCATTAGAGTGCAACGGAATCTCAGTCAGTCAACAACAACATAGAACTTTATACGTACGCACGTACATCAGTTCAAGTTGCCATACCACATTAGCACAGAGGCACAATTGTCAATTCAAATCCCATGGTTGTAGAGGTAGTAAAAGTACTGTAGTGAACGAGAACACAGGTGGGGCAACCGAATTGTATTTAACGAAAATTACAGAGTTACTCAGTAAAATTGGAAAACCATATCGTAAATCGTTCATTTGCAAAATAACAGTTCATCATATCGAACCGGACTGTTCCTGTTGCAAAACATCAATCCATTGTCACTATTCATGCGTTTCATACAAATTCCATTGTTTTCTAACTCTTCCTTGCTTGATCTTCCCCCATCTTCGGCTACCAGACATTACGTTGACGCTCACGTCATATACTACTTATAAGTAGTTCGCACCACAGTACTAGCAGTAATCGGAGAGATTACGGTTCGAAGATGTTATTCAAGAAGTAGAATCTAGTGAAATAAACTTAACAAGAAAAAGATAAAGGTGATGAGGAATCCAGAAGGTTACGATTTGAGAGAACACAAAAAATCGATACACCTGCACCATTGTGAACGGTTTCGAGCCATGTCATTCAAGGTCTCTAATAATCATTGATTACTATCATCTCGCGGGCCCCAACCAAGTAGTCGACACCTACCGAAATGACTCAGTCCTCTTGTCAGTGACTTCATGGATTTCTGCCTCGTTTTGGTCTGGCTGCACCTAGCTTTCTTTCAACCTATTCCTATATCGTAATGCATAGCTCGACGAGGCAGTCGGTGGTTAGGCATACGTAACACATGTCCCAACCACCTCAACTGATGAAGTTTCATTACTTCATCTATTGACCTGCCATCCTTACCTTGCACCCGCTTCCTAATAACAGTATCGCTCACTCGGTTGTCCCAGGATATACGCGCAATGGTCCGAAGACACCTATGATCGAAATCCAGTAACCTACGAATATCTTCTACTCTCACTGGCCATGTTTCACAGCCATAAAGTAGGACGGAGCGGAGTACTTACTGCGCAGTACACTCGTCCTTTAGTCAGCAAACGAATATCTAGCCTTCGCCATAAGTGACCCAAGTTGGCAAAAGCCAATCGAGCCTTCTGTGCGCGTGCTGAGATTTCGTCAGTCACCAGGCCATCAGCACTGATGAGACTCCCAAGATAAGTGAGGTCGTCTACACGCTCAACTACTTCACTCCCTATCACGCCACAGGATTTGGTAAGTTAATAACAGAGGTCTTTAAGTAAGGTGGTCCACTTTTAGCAGCCAAGGTGTCACCTACTTTTACACAACGCTGGCTAACATGCGAGTAGGCTGGAGAACTAATGAGAAGTGACAGATTAAGATACTGCACTGCCTTCACGGTGTGGGCAACCTGGAAGTGAGAACCGCCCTCATACCCATAAAGACACACGAGACCGAATCGGTCACAATTAAACCCTTTCTACACCTCTTAATAACTCTCTTTTCTCCTCGACCAACCCTTCTTTCGATCATTTTTCACCTCACGCGACTGTAGCAAACGGTCTGAGCTCACGAAACATTATTCCTGGTCTCTTGAACCCCCGTACTAAATAACATATTGGATTTTTTAATGTTCGGATCCTATGCCAAATAGGGCAACAGGCTTCATTAGCTAGAACTCTGCAATCCCGTGCGATCGATATATGTTGCGTCTCCGAAACGCTCATAGAGGATCCGAGTAAAATCATCAATTTGATCTCATTTAGTGCGAATCGAGACAACAAGCTGTACACTTCGTGTTTCTGGAAGCCCTGATGCCGCTCTTTGTGGCCTCATCGGCGTAGGTATAGTATTAAGTCATAGGGCAGAACTAGCGCTCCTAGACTGGATCACAGTGGATAGTCGCTTGAGCGCTGTTCGAATGAATGGAGCAGTAAGGACTCGTAAAGATAGGGACACTCGCCGTTGCCTCTTCATAGTATCTGCCCACGCTCCCATTGACTGCAGTTCTGACGCGGTGAAAGATGGGTTTTACAGAAAGCAGTCGGACCTCCTCCAGGACGTAAGGCGCTATAATGAAGTAATGTCTGGCGACTTTAATGCTCAACTAGGTAGACTGAATGAGTAGGAGAGACAATTGGGTGGATGTTACGGTGTTGCGGCTCAGAGAACAGACAGTGGCAACCGTCTGTTGCAACTATGCTCAGATAACCGCCTATTCCTAGCAAACACTAAATTAAGGCATAAGGAAAAACGCCTCCTGACCTGGTGACCACCAAAGTCGTCTCAACGTTGAACTCAACTAGATCACATCGCCATCAGCCACCGATGGAGGGGTTGGATAGAGGACTGTCGCTCGTTCTGCGGCAGATGTTTAGATTCAAATCATGCCCTAGTGCGAGCGCGTATTTGTTTGAGGCTTACTGGAATCCAGAAAAATATCGCAAGAAAACCTCTTAGGGTTTTACTTAATGATAATAAAGCTGAGAATAGGTTTCAGGAACAACTAGAAAGACAGTTAGGCAGCCATTTAGTAAGTGATGCCCACCCTGAGAGAACTTGGAATGATATAAAAAAGGCTGTGGAAACAGCAGTTATATCTGCTAGTAAGGTTATCGATAAGGCTAGAATGAAACCGTGGATCTCAGAAGCATCCACCAAACTGGTGGGTGCTCGAAAGCTCATTCCCACTGACTCTGAGCAAGATGAGGAGGAGAGTCAGGTCAGGCGCAGTGAAAGCAATGGAGATGGAAAAGGCAGCGGCGATAGGCAACACTAGGCAACTATGCAGACTTATCAGGGAAACCGGTATTAGGAACCCGAATGTGGAAAAGGATGGTTTTATTATCCATTCTCAATCCAGGAGACTGGACCGATGGGCAGAACACTTTAGGGATCAGTTCAACTGGCCTCGAGCCACTTCAGTTATCCACGATCTCCAGTCATCCTGAATGGAAGTCGACGTAAGTCCCCCTAGTCTTCATGAAGTTGAGAAAGCGTTAGGAAATCTGAAGCGAGAGAGAGCAGCAGGACCCGATAGATTGACTCCTGCGATTTTTAAGGATGGTGGTCCAGTTTTAGCAGCTAGATTGACTGAAATCTTAGGTAGAATCTGGGAACTGGACACAATCCCATCCGACTGGTCTCAATCCCCGATTGTCCTAATTTATAAGAAAGGAAAAAAGTCATCTTGCGACAATCACAGCGGAATCAGTCTAACTAATATAGTATCTAAAATATTCCCGTCAATAGTACTTAGACGCTTAACGAAAGCTCGTGAAGAGCAGACTAGAGAAAACCAGGCTGGTTTTCGACCTGGACATGGCTGTATAGATCACATTTTCATACTACGACAGGTCCTGAAACACAGGCATACGTTTAGGCGTCCTACAATAGTTGTATTTCTGGACCTTAAGGCGGCATTCGACTCTTCGGATCGTGAGGTTGAGTGGTACTGTCGTTGAAAGGTGTACCAAAGAAGTATATTAACCTTGAAGAAGAACTCCACTCGAACACCACTGGTCAAGTGAGAGCTTATGACGAACTGTCATTGGAATTCTTTACTTCAAGTGGTGTCCGTCAGGGATGTCCACTTTCCCCATTCTTGTTTAATTTGGTCACAGACATGCTTCTAGATATAACATTATCCTCGTCACGTTTTTCAGAGGTGGACCTTCTACCAGGAGGATCACTCACTCATTGACCGAATATGCCGATGACATAGTTCTATTTGGTGAAGACGCTGACAAAATACAGTCTTCTGACTACCCTAAGCAACAATGCTAGCATGTGCGGGATGCGGTTTTCCCTTTCGAAATGCAAAATGTTGCTTCAAGACTAGATTGCATCGGCACCTGAACTAGTTGATAGGGAGTGAAGTAGTTGAGCGTGTAGACGACCTCACTTATCTTGGGAGTCTCATCAGTGCTGATGGCCTGGTGACTGACGAAATCTCAGCACGCGCACAGAAGGCTCGATTGGCTTTTGCCAACTTGGGTCACTTATGGCGAAGGCTAGATATTCGTTTGCTGACTAAAGGACGAGTGTACTGCGCAGTAAGTACTCCGCTCCGTCCTACTTTATGGCTGTGAAACATGGCCAGTGAGAGTAGAAGATATTCGTAGGTTACTGGATTTCGATCATAGGTGTCTTCGGACCATTGCGCGTATATCCTGGGACAACCGAGTGAGCGATACTGTTATTAGGAAGCGGGTGCAAGGTAAGGATGGCAGGTCAATAGATGAAGTAATGAAACTTCATCAGTTGAGGTGGTTGGGACATGTGTTACGTATGCCTAACCACCGACTGCCTCGTCGAGCTATGCATTACGATATAGGAATAGGTTGAAAGAAAGCTAGGTGCAGCCAGACCAAAACGAGGCAGAAATCCATGAAGTCACTGACAAGTGGAGTGAGTTATGTTTTTATATGTAGGCTTCTTGGTCGGTGTCTGTGAGACGAAATTCATCAGTGGTTAGAGACTTTGAATGACATAGCTCAAATTCGTTGACAATTTTGCAGTTGCATCCAATGTTTGTGTTGTCTCTAATTCTTACTTGAACTGGTGTACTTATTTATGAAGTTCTACTTTGAAGAATATAGTGATATCTGTATTATTTTATTTATTATTCTCCTGTGCTTACTGCGGCTAAGACTAATTTTTGGATGATTCTGCTTCCAATTGGATATGTCAATAATTGCTAAACTGTTTACTTTAAAGCAAGCCACCACACTACCTCATTTCATTAAGATTCATTTTTATCACGCTTGTACTTGTATATATTCACTTCAGTAATTTTCGGATGATATAAGATGAAGTTATGTTTTCAAGGGGTTTTGAAAACTTGATCAAGTCTAATTATATCTGAGTGTTAATAATAAATAATCACTTCTGCTTAAAATGGTTTTCTTGGTTAATATGAATGAAAAATGAGTGTATTTTCCAGTTAACTTTCCATAAGGAATAGTTAAGATTTATAATTCTTCAATGTTTATACAGGCACGATCAGACTGTACTGGTAAAAATGGACCAACAAATTCTCAAATTCCATTATCACAAACTGTAGTTCAGTCAGAATGTGAACTGGATATGTGCCACGCTTCCAAGTTCCGCGATGGTAAGATTTTCAATTGGTCTGTTATCAAATTGCTCACTAAAAAGCTTAGTCATGTTAGAATATTTTGCAGTTTGCATCAATCATTCTTTTAGGATATTTAAGAGATTGCATATTTCAACTGCGGAATTGATAACATGAACTGACAACTCATCTTTTGACATTTATCATCAGACTGTCAAAACCAACTAAAATAAACTCAGCAAAAGCAAAAAGTATTTCAGCAGGCTAGTTTCCGTTCTGCTCAGGGATGCATTGATCATATCTGCGCCCTCGGCCAAATGTTACAATACCGCCCTAATTATCTCAGGTCAACAATCGTTGTGTTTTTTGGCACTAGAGCCAACTTCGTTTTTCCGGACATTGTGCTCTGGGATTATCTGTTGAGGATGTGCCTGAGAAGTTTATTAACATCCGAAAGCTTCTGTACGCAAGCATCTCGGGCAGAGTGAGGGCATACAACCACTTATTTCCATTGTTTCATTCAAGCAGTGGAGTTAGGCATAGTCTCACCATTCGTTTTCAATTGCGCCATCGATGAATTTCTGGAAACAGCTGTAGTGAATGCAGGTAGTGGTGGTGTGGATCTGTTATTTTGAGAAACCTTTTCGACCTTTAGTATGCGGTTGCTATTGCCTTATTATGCGATGATTCTCTAGCAATCCGATCCACATTTAATCACTTAGCAATAAGTGCCTGTAGGTATACATGTGCTTTCCACCTTCTAAATGCAAAGTACTCTTGCTACTCTAGCAAAATCATGAACCCGCTCTCACTCTTGCTATTGAGCGGATAAGGGTTGTCAGAATGTTCGTGTATATGGGTATCTGTGTAAGTGCTAGTGGCTAAATGAGTCAGATACCCTATGTTGCTAAGTACCATCTTTAGCCCCTGGTTGTAAAAAGCCAGGTCTACAGTGCGTCGGTCAGAGCCGTTTTGCGCTATTCGCGTGAAACCTAAACTCTCAGTTAAGTCTGTTAAGCGACTATCTGTTTTCGGTCACCATTGTTTCCGAAGTATTGCTGACATTTAGTAGTGACAACATGTTAGTGACGACACGATGATTCAGTTGGTGTGTCGTCATGAAACACCGCCTTTCGTGACTTGGACTTGTACCGAAACATGGCCCAAATCCATGAAGTCACTAACAACTGGACTAGACACAACAACTTGATTTTTATTGAAGGGCGCATATATATGTTTTGGTGCATTACGTACATATTTAAACCTTTTACCCCTAATAGAGCATAGGCCGCTGAGCAGCAGTCTACAACCTAGTTTCTCCTCGGTCTTCTTTTCTAGTTCTACCCAACAGTTGTTCATTCTTTGATGTCTGCTTTCAGTTTTCCACGTAATTTTTTCTCTGGTTATCGTGTTTTCCTCTGGTCCCGAGAATTCCACTTTGAGGCTTGCCTTATGATGCAGTTGCCCGACTGTAGCTGCTACCGTGATGTACTGACCGGGCTCGCCTATCGTGATAACCCAACTGAGCTATATTAACTGGGACATATGTTCCTGTAGGTTCTACCATGCCAGCAAGGTCGACTGAAGAACGATGAGACTAAAAGCAGCTACTCAAGGGCTGAGTGCGAAGTCTTACTGCTGATTGTAGAAGGGTAGGTTAGCAGTAAGGTGTTTCTCTCGGACAATCAGCATCTGCAGCGATGCTGCCTTATCACAAGGAAGGAAGGGATTAGAAAAGATCAACCCTAACAATGTCACATGTCAACTTGCCCCCATCGCACCGTTAATGCCAACGAATCGACTTTCTTTATCTCCTGAATCCCGTATATCTCGGTCTTGACGACATTCATTATGAAACACGGGTCGTTGCCACAATTTCTTTATTATTCAAAATATTTAATGATTGATACAAATATCGGATTTAATGCAAATATATATAGTCGATATTGCCATCGAATTATTTAAACAGTTAATAGATAAAGTTAGTCAAATAACTGTATGCGTAGGTCTTAAGTACTGCCCAAGCATACATGCGCATACAAGCTCCGCATTGATAAAAGTACAAAATATGTGTGAGGTGCTACACGAGTACACGAAATGTTGTTCCTGGTCTCCTGAACCCACGCTCTAAACTACATGCTGGAGCTTTTAGTGTTCGAACCTTGTTCCAAATAGGACGACTAGCTTCCTTAGCTAGCACTCTACAATCCCGTGCCATCGATGTCTGCTGAGTCTCCGAAACTCCTATACAGCATCCGTCTACAGTGATTCATTTGATCCAACCATATTAAAATAGAAAACCGAGGCGATTTACGCTCCCGGTATTGGAAAGCTCTACTTCTGCTCCCCTTGGCTTCGCTGGTGTAGGTACAGCATTGAGTTCTAGAGCAGAATCAGCTCACTTAGACTGTATTCCGGTAGACAGTCGGTTGTGCGCTGTCCGGCTTAATGGGATCGTAAAAGCTCTGGCACTCAACACCATCACTCCTTTTTCTCTGTTTGCGTCCCCACTGACTGCAGCTTGGATAAGGTGAGAAATGAATTTTATAGAAAGCTTTCCGAACTTTTTCAAAAGCTAGGTGTTTTGAGGTGTTAATCGTAGCTGGCCATTTTAATGCTCCAGTCGGTGGACTAAACGAAACTGAAAGATGCCTGGGTGGATATTATGGTCTCGAGGCTCAATGAACAGATAATGGTGACCGTCACTGAATGTCACGATTTATAAGAAAGGGGAAAAGTCTTCTTGTGAGAAGCACAAAGAGATCAGTTTAAGTTATTTAGTGTATGAAAAATTGGTTTCAATAATACTTCAACGCCTAACTAGAGCTCGTGAGGAGCAGACTCGAGAAAACCAGTCTGGATTCAGACCTGAATATGGTTGAATGGACACACACAATTTAGGCGTCCGACAATAGTTGTCTTTTCTGACTTTATAGTGGCATTTGACCCTGTCATTCGTGAGATTCTGTGGTATGTCTATTATTAAAAGGTGTACCAATGAGGGAATTTAGCCTTGTACATGCTCTCTACTGGAACACTACTGGTCGAGTGAGAGCTTATGGTGACCTGTTATCAGAATTAATTACCTCAAGTGGTGTTCGTCAGGGTTATCCATTTGCCATTCTCATTTAACTTTGTCATTGACTTGCTCACAGAACCGACGTTTTCATCGTCTAACTTTTCAGGAGTTGAAATTTTGCCAAGATATTCATTAATCGACCTAACGCTGACAAAATACAGTCTTCTGACCATCTTAAGCAACAAAGCAAGCATGTGCGATGCGATTCTCCTCAAAGTGCAAAATGTTGCTTCAGGACTGGTTTGAAACGGCACCGGAACTAGTGATAGTGTGTGAATTAGTTGGGCCTGTTGACCGCCTCACTTATCTCAGAAGTCTCATCAGTGCTGATGGCCTGGTGTCTGACGAAGTTTCGGTACGGATACAGTGGGCTCTATTGGCTTTTGCCAACTAACGTGACTTATGGCGTAAGCGAGATATCCGTTTTCTAACCAAAGGAGGAGTCTGCTGTGCAGCAGTTCGCTCCATCCTACTCTATGGCTGTGAAACATGGTCAGTCAGAGTAGAAGATATTCGTAGGTTGCTGGTTTTCGATCATAGATGTCTTAGAAGCGTTGTTCGTATATCCTGGAACAACCGAGTAAGTAATACTGTTGTTAGGAAACGGGTACTAGGTAAGGATGACATGGATTGACGAAGTAGTAAATGTTCATCAGCTATGATGGTTAAGACATGTGTTACGTATACCTAACCACTGACTGCCTCAACTGGCGATGTTGTCCAATATGGCGGTAGACTGGAAGAAACGTAGGATCGAATCTGTGCTCTCTCCTCCTTACACGATTACGCATTTTATTCCCTCATAAGAATTCCGAGTGATGTTGACTATCTTCTCAGGCACACCGTAGAATCAAAGAAGCCTCCATAGTATCATCGTTTTCACGCTATCGAATGCTTTCTCGTATTCAATGAAATTGATGTAAAGTGGTGAATTCCATTCAGTCAGTTGTTTTACGATGATCCGTAGTGTCGCACTTAGGTCGGTACTTGATTGACCCATGTAGAATCCAGTCTGCTGATCTGGAAATTGTTTGTTTGTTCCTCCTCCCAAATCATTCTGAAGATAGTGTGTAAACTCTTTTCACTTACTGCTGTCTGCTATTAGTGCTTAAGGTGGTTTGTTGTCTAGTCCTGTTGCTTGGCCACTCTTCATTTGTCTGATGACTATGGTTTTTTTTCTTGATTGTTGGTGGGTCAACATCAATTGGGACTTTTGTCGGTGTTTGGTGGTCTGAGTGGGGTTCGTCTATTTGAGGGTTCTTCAAAGTGCTTTACCTACGTGTTCCACTGTTGTTCAATGTTGACGATTAATTTGCTTTCCAGCAAGCTTCTTCATTGTACCGTATGGTTGTTATCTCATGTTTGATTTCCTGGCAGCTTTTTCTGCTCGTATTCGCTCGCTTGTTTGCTTCTGTGTATTTGACCTATTCCTTGGATTTCTCTGTTCTTGTTCGGCTGATATTGATTGCTGCCTTCCTGTTGCTCCTTCCTTCAATCCTATCCAGAGTATCAGCAGAGATCCATTCCTTTTATTGGTGGTTCTTGTGGCCCAAAACCTCATGACTTGCTAAATTTTCTGCTTTTTCGATCCCTTTCTAGTCGCTCTCCGTGGTCGTTTCCTCCCCATTGTGTAGACCGTGAAAGGCCTGGAATTGATCGCTGACAGCTTTTTTGAATTTATTGAGTTTACCAGTATCCCGAAGAAAGTCCGTATTAAACTTTTGTGATGTTTGTTCAACCAGTTGTCCAATGCTTGTTGAGTTTCAGTTTCACTAATGATAATTCCGATAATAGAGTTTTCTGTTTGAAATCGTCACGTTTGTAGGGAATGAACTTTGTTTTTTGTATTAAATAAACATCTGTTTATTTCCGTTAGACGGTCTGCACCAAAACATATGTTTTATTGCGAGATAGTGTAGTTTTGCGAGCTTTGACATCACTATGGTTGTAATCTTTGGTTCGTATATAGCTATTGTTTTTTTAGTGAGTCTAATTGTCCTGTAATCGACGGTTACCAGTTATATTAACGACATTTGAAAAGTTATAGTCCAAAATATTTCATAAGATTTTGAACAGTTTTTTTATTTCGAAGCCTTGACCTAATAACTTGAACTTCACTTTCACATCATTCATTTGTTAGAGTTCATCCGTTATTTCACTGGATCGGAAATCTCATCCGAACAGTCTTCACACTTTCCCAATTTACACTCTTCTTCTGCCATGTCAATAATTAATTGGTATCCACATAGACTTGGTTCTTCTCCTCTACCTTTTGGACTACATCTTTTTGGGAAGCAAAACCAACTGAACTCAACAGTATTACAAATTGTGCTTGATAAAATTTATCATTGTAATCAAAAAGATTCAGTCACTTCATCCTACATCAAAAATCCAAAGAAATCATCTTTTTGTCGTTTTGAGTCACAACAAGCTACCAAATTATCGTGGGCCAAGTTAAAGAACACTGTACCTCTCATTTATCAATTGGTTGACCGGATGCATTTTTCCCAATCGGAGTATGAAAACTTACTAAAATTAGTAAGTATTCTTTTAGGTGGACTTAACGTTGTTGAACAAGCTTTGAGAAGTATATTTTCATCATTCCTTTATTGAATGTTTCCAGGCCAAACATCTGGATCCAAACTCCGGTCAGGATCTACAGTCTCAATATAGAGATATTGCTTGCAAATGGCTTCGTTTGTCACCGACTCGTTGGGTTTCATGGACCAAAGGGTGGAATAAAAAGCTAAATCTTACGGTTGCTGGACTTTTCGCTTTCTACGGAAAATGGGTCGTTTCGAATTTAGATCATGGTAAGAAATTCTGCAGCGTTCTTATTTTTCCTATCTTTTCCCATCTTGCTCGTGCTCTCCTAATGGATCTTTCTCAAGTGACATTTTAAAGTTGAATTTGATGCATTTAAACCTTTGCATTATCATCAACATACACATTTCATCAAGTTACATTTTAAATCTTAGCGACAAATTTACAATCATTCTTTAATTATGACATTATATTCGACAGTTCGCCGTATCATAAATTTGTTTGATGCAGCTTTATCATTTACATAACGCATTACATTTCTATATATTTTTTAATTATCTTTCATAGTTGCTGAACAAGCTATTAATTTCGTCAATAATAACCCTGATTACTTTAGCAATACTGAATACGCATTGACACTAGACGTTCGTAATCTGACTTGTTCTCAGGATGTTGTATTGAATGATTACTTTGATTTAATAACAGCTTCGAAAAATAGGAAGATTATTGGTGTAATAGGTAAGTATTACTTCTATATGAAAAATTCACGTCTATTAACTTGTTTATCGTCATGGTTTCATATGGTTCGTTTCTCTCCTGAGTTTTACCCCTCGGTTTTATTAACTGTACAGCAACTAGTAGTGCTCCTGTCAATACGCTGTTATGACGCAATGAAAATGTCACGAAATTATTACTAACTACTCTGTATGATCTGCACGTTACCAGGTCACAAGACACCAATAGTGTATTTCGATAAAATAGGTATATTAGAATGTTGAAACATCCTTCTCGAATGTTATGGTATTTAGGGAGAAAACAGCCACAATAAAGCAGCCTATCTATGACAGTAGTTGACGTTGTAACACTTTTTATCAGTATAGAATTGGGGATGTTGCAAGCAAACAGGGCACCAGTAAAAGGTAAATAGATTTTTGTCAGATTTCATTTTTAAATCAACAGGCGTTCACTATTCCCGGAGGACGTCTCAAATCATTTTTGCTTTTATTACCCTATTTCCAATAGATAAACCATGTCCTGGCTTTTATTGTCAGAGATGTTTGTGTACGTTAGTGTGTCTATTCTTCATCGTTTTGGGAAAATTTCCTAGTGCGGTCGAATGTGGGGAGCCCGCCAGGGAAGTCCTACTCATTCCCTCATCGTGACGAGGTATTGTCTACGAAATTGAGAAGTCGAAAAGCGAATGTCTGGTGCTTAAATCAGGTTGGTGGGTATAGAAGATTCGCATAGGGTGGTTGGAAAACCTTAACCTTAATCCAGTGATGCACATAGTTTCCATGATCTTCAAGGAACAAATGGCACTTGAACATGTCGGTCACTGGCTATCATCGGACTGCATCTCTTAACGTCACTCCACTGTTTTTAGGGTTAGACCTTTAGGTCAAAGGCTCCCTTTATGAAAATCACATGCTTTGGTTTGGGTACTCGAACAATATCCCAGCCCATAAGAATTCATGTATATGTGTGGCACATAGATATTTAAATGTCCCTCCGTACCACTAGTTGTGTCTAAGTAAATGAATCATTACCCTGTGTTCCTGCAACCTTTTTTATAATTAAGCAAAACAAGAGAGGTTACCATACCTAATACTGCTTGAATTTTCGGTGGGTAGATCATTTAGTTTTTTAGATTGCTCAAATGTTCGTATTTTTATTGTTTTTCATAAATCAGCTGCCCTGTGTTCGGATTCTATAGAACCAGTTGTTGAGGTAGCGAATATGCGTCGCCAGATTGTTGTTAGTCCAACTGTGGAGTCAGTTCGTTTTGCCAAACGCCATCAATATCCATATTTTTTTCGCACTGTTCCCTCGATGACACATGTAAGGTATGTGGTTGCAGTGAGTATTATTCAACCTAGCTTCTTGTATATTTATTCACCTGGTCAATTCAGATCGATTGAACACGAATTACTTATGCTAGCCTGGTTTGATTAATTTTTTTTGTATTCATGATGCATAAGATACTCAATTACAACGCTGCACTTTATCAAGTACAATATGCAAAGGAAGGTCCCTATTGATCAAAGTAAACAAAAAGCTTCATTTTTTAGTCTTATTCACCACGTAACTGTTGGTATTTAATACATATTTCATTTAAAGAGCTCATTAACGTTATTTTCACATATTTTCTAGCAACACTTAACTGTCAGCAATTCCATTCTATTGTTTAGCGATTGGGTCATGGATAGTAAATATCACAGTTCAACGTTTTTTTTGAGCCACTAATAAAAATTTAGATTTTTCATGAAATATGACATTTCACTATTACCGAAATATACATACAAACACTATTAACACTTAACTGCACTATGCCCGAAGTTTATAGATAGGAGCTCTTCACCTTTGGATTGTTAGACTTTCACAAAGTATTAGTATTAGATAAAATCACAGATTGCTAATATTCTGCTATTTATGTACGTGTGGTTAGTAGTAGTGCATTGAAAACCTACATATCATGTATCGATGTCAGTCCCATGTCCATAGAATACTGACCAAGTAACGTTATTGTCTAAACTTGTAACCTACAACATCAGTCTTTCATTCATTATAATTTTTTTTACTGTTAAGTACACTTTTTGTGTAAACGTTCTATTTGTAGCCGATTGCCTTACAATTTAGTCCTGTCCATTAGGTAGCATCTTCGGTTTTCGGACATCAAGTGTGATTCATTCTCGTTAGCAATCGTGCTATACATTTTAAAATATAATCTGGAAATTAATTTAACTTTTTTACGTTTCGTGTGTAGCTTAATTTTAATCCGATTGTTCAGTAACTGGGGTTGGCGTCGTGTTGCTGTATTTCGCGAGGACGATCATTTCTTTGATCCTCTGATTTTTCAGTCAAACGGTATAGATCTTATTGCTGACTTTGTGATGAAGGAAAACCAGCTCACATACGTAACTGTGCATCAGGTATGTCATTTCACCTTGAACAACAGTAAATATACTCAAACCAAATTTTTAAATCTTATATTGTAATTTTCTGCACTGAAAAACTATATAAAATAAAATAAATCAGTCAGTCAGTAAAATAAATACAAAATTCATATACCAATTACTTATTTATAGGCCATACCCTAATTTTCATGGCTAATAATAAAACCTGGTTGCCTAAACCGATGTTGGCGAAGGGGGTTTTGCCTCGGGACTAAAAACCGATAGTGGAACACCTTAACCACTAGACCTGCCTTCATTAAAACTCACATGACTAGTTTAACCAAAGCTATTGTAGCCGTAGGTAATTATGTTGGTTAACAGAGTGTTTGCTTATAAATTTCGTTAGACTCAAACCATTTTGAGTTTGAATATAACTCCTTAGAGCAGAGTATGGAATAATATCTTTAAAAAATGGGCACAAACTTTAAATGTGACTCACGTACCAAATATAGATTAGACAGTTTGAATGATGATACACCTTCCGTGTATTCATGCCCGGTTGACCTAGCCAAAATGAATGTTACAAAGTTGGGGTGTATAATTTAGTCAGTCGCTTTGATTTCAACAATATTCCCCATTACCATTTTACTTATTAATCAAAATCGCACTCTCAGTAGGGTGAAAGTACAGTCGAGTGTTTTTCTCGATTGCAAGCTTGCTATTTATTATATTGTAGGTGCACGAAATCAATGGTATACATAATCTTGACTTTCGAAGGTTCAATCAAAAAAATATAAAAATCTGTTTACTCAGTTGATGCAACGCATCTTAAAAGTAAATTAAGGTCCAGCCATTTCGTCGTTACATACGTTCAAAGGATTCGTCTTCGGAATATGGTCAAGAATCTTTTTCAGTTCATTTTACAGTCTGTTTGAATATAAAGCTTGAGCTTACTTTGCTTACAATAATTTTTTCAAGAAGTGGTCGCGAACTTTTCGAGGTTTACTCATAGTGGTAATCAATTCCAATAACAGGTCACCATAAGCTCTCACTCAACCAGTGGTTTCGACCAGAGAGTCTGTAACGTACTTCTGTGGTACACCTTTTAATGACGGCCACTGCCACAAAACCTTACGATCGACACCCTCAAATGCCGCATTAAGGTCGAGAAATAGCACTATTGTGGGATGTCTGAACGTGTTTCTATTCGGATCCTGTATGCGCGTTTGGGAGACGCAGCTTACATCGATGGTGCGAGATTTTAATGTCCTAGCTAGGGAAGTCTGTTGTCCTACTTGATACAATATCCGGAAGGAAGGAAGCCTGTTGTCCAATTCGTTATAATGTTTGCACATTCAAAGCTCTAACATGTAGTTTATAACGGTTTCAGGAGACAAGGAATAACGTTTTGGGAACTCGAATCGTTTGCATTACCGGTGCAGGTTGATAAGGGGATATGAGAAAGGTGAAACGTGGAGATAAGAGAGATGTTAGGGGGTGTAGAAAAGATTTGTTTGTGACCGATTTAGTCTCGTGTGCTGTAACGGGTATGAGGTCCGATGTCACTTCCCAGGTGCCCACAGCGTGGGTGTTTCTTGAGGAACCTAAAAAGGAAGGAAGATTTGTGTTGGTCACAGAGACCTGAGAGCGTGACCACAGAGCCCAATGGACAACTGCTTGAGACCGTTTCCCACGGCCTTTTTATGAGTTTTCAAAGTGTTCTTTTTAAAAAGCCTTACCACCGAAGACAGAAAGATAAGGTGAGGTGTGACATTTTTTAAGGTCGACGTTTTTTAATCCCTTCCTCCCTTGTGAGAAGACAGCATCACTGCAGATGCCGGTTGTCCGAGGGAAACTCATTACTGCTGTCACACCTTCCTACAGTCAGCAGTACGACTTCGCCTTAAGACATTGAGTAGCTGCTTTTAGTCTCATCGTTTTCCAATCGACATTGGTGGTATGGTAGAACTTACAGGAACAAATGTCCCAGCCAATATAGCTCAGTTGAATCATCACCATCTACAAGCCCGACTACCACGTCAAGGTAGCAACTATGGTCGGGAATATTATCAAGAAGTAGCTAGATGACTAAATATATGTGAATGAGAGTGGTATCCAGTAAAACAAATGGTTCAGTTAGGAAAATGCGATTGTAGGTTGTCTTTTCTGTCTTAGAAGTTTCTATCACTTTTATTACGGAAGTAAGAGAAAGTTACAACAAGATCTCCATTGGCATGTCTGATAGCGTCTTTAACCATTTTGGTGGTGTTTCGTTCTCTCAGCTGGATGTTGCTATATTTCAAATGTCATAGCCGAGGTCTCGTGATGGACCAACAGACGCCAGTCATTTTCAGCTTACATAATTGGTAGCCATGTCATAAACTGAACATCCACTTTTTTCAATCAGTTTCAGCGTGGCAAATAATGCACGATGTAAAGTCGCTAAAATGAATTGACATTTCGACAATAATTGCTGTCTTTTACGACATAGCTAAAGATGATAAAAGTATTTATTCTCTATTCTTTTAGGCTTTAAAACTTATGAATGATCGTACTAGTCGTATCTTCATGGTTGAATATTTTGCTAAAGGTACAGCTATCATACTTTGTGCTGCATATCACTTAGGTATGCATTTCGATGCGGGCTATGTCTGGTTTCTTAATCCTTGGTTATCAGGCAATTGGTGGCAGGCGCCTGATGTACATCCAACAGAATGTACTCATGAAGAAATGCATAACATAACTTCGTGGACTTTTACAGTTGGACATCAATTAATCATGGAACCACTGGCTCACAAAATTATACCTTCTTCATATAACGATGTGAATTTTTTTACTTTTGACTCGTCATTTCATAAACAACAGAGCCTTGATCGACGATTTCGTCGATATTCAAATCAATATGCACAAGATTTACGCATCCGTAAATTCAAGCATCCATTATTTAATGGTCATTTTACAAATAACTACGACGATGCACCTTCAGATTCAGAGTCGCAACGTTCAGTTTTTAACACAAAAAGCGAAGATGTTGGATATGTTCATTCTTCTCACGATTATGCAATACATACATATGAATCTGTTATAGTTTTAGCCGCAGCACTTATTCACTTATTACATCAAAACCCAAGTGCTATTTCCGTTTTTGAATCAATGTCAGTTGCAGAAGCATATCGGGAATTAGTTTTTGAAACAGACTTTAGATACACCATATCGTCGAGATTCATTATGGATGATTCCTTTAAAAATCCTGTTATTTCACTAGACACAGGTTTCCACTATGTATACAGGAAAGACAAAATTAAGTCGGCTTCCCAACTGCGATTTAATAATTTAAATGAACGTGTTGCTGATTTTTGGCTACTTAAGCAACATCAAATCAATATCACTGTTCCCATTGTATTATGGACTTTAGACCAAGACTTTGTAAGCGATGATAATACTGTGCCTCTAAGTTCTTTGATGGACGCAGCTGATCTTACTAACTTGGCAGCTTCTGAACATTTTGCCCAACTAATGGGGGAACGCTGGATTAACGATGTGAATTGGGGTAGTAACAATGGTCCACCAAATGATGGATCAAAACATGACGATAACTGTGTGTTTGGATTTGTTAGTAGAATTTTCGGTGTAAATTGTACTGGTTCTACTGTGATCGCTACTATTTCCATGGTGTTTTCCGTAGCAGTATTATGTTTATTCCTGTTCATTGTATACTATCGACGTAAACTAAAGCAAACTCAATTAAGAATTCGTCAACCGTATGAAAACCTCTGTAATGAACTAAAAGATATCGATGTAAGTACACGTCACCAACAAATTTTTTTTTGTACCAGTATTTGGCATATGTGTAAATCTGTTCAATTTACCCATGTCCATTAGTAAAACAAGATGAAGTTGTTAGGCCAAATCCCAAAGTAGTAGATGTAGTGACAGTCTCAATAGTAATCGTAAAGACTGTACATCTAAGACACGATTTCAGAAGAAAATTAAAATTGTCCGAACAAAGGATTTAGAAACTTGGGATCCGAAAAAAGACAAATTCAATGCACCTGCACCATTGCGAATGATTTTTCGCTCTGTCCCCCAGTCTTCATTATAATATTGTAACAGTGTCAGTCGTTTTGCGAATATCTCAGACAATAGTTGTAACGAATGCATTTGCTCCAGGTAAAACATATCTTTTTCTTCCCCTTCCATAGGCCTAAATATCTTTCTACTTTAGTAATACTAATTTTCAACTGCTGTTTTTAGTGTCTTTTTAGCAATTTATTCAAAAGAAATCAATAACGTGAAAAGCCTTCCTAGACTGTAGTTGATTACTGTCCTACACCTTGGAGCAGCGCAGAAAGTTGTTTTCAACAAAGCTGAACCATATGAAAGGCACCGATGACATAAGTAAATAGAAACTAGTGAGATTAATAAAATGTTCAATAGGATTGTTTACTTTCATGATCTATTTTGGACATTATAGTGCTTTACCAGCTGTTAGTATTTTTGTGTCTAGGTTTCAAATACCATAGTCTGCTAACAATTTTTCAGACAATTATAATAACCAGCTTATTCGAAAGTTAGATTTCAATGAAGGATTTTCCCATATTGTTTTATTCTAAACATCACTAAGTTCGGAAGTACTAAAAAAGCATAATAGTACCAATATTACTAATTTGCTCCAACCGTAATTCGTTTAATGATTCATTTTCCCATGAATAAAAGGACTTGCACAGCTTCATGTAACATACACTCTCCAGCGCCAGTTTTTTACAAGTGATGTCTCAAAATTTTTCTTTTGTCTCATTCATTTACGTTCCCGTTAATTTCGCCAGTGAGATAAGTCTAGTTTCATGTTTCTTGTTGCTAACAGATTCCACCTGCTGACATAGTTCTGAATCGTCGTGTTGGTCAAGGAGCATTCGGTATGGTGTATGGTGGTGAGGCGAAACGTAATGGACGTTGGGAGGCAGTAGCTGTTAAAGTGATTGGTAATAAAGCTACATATGAAGGAAAAACAGATTTTCTCTCAGAAGCAAAATTGATGAGAAGTTTAGACCATCGAAATGTTGTACGTTTAGTTGGTATCTGTTTGTATCCGAAAGAAAATCATCTCTATTTGATCATGGAATTTATGCTGAATGGTGATCTGAAAACATATCTTCTATCTCGTCGCGTTTTGGCTCAACAGTAGGTTCAACACTACCTTATATTTCGTCACACTGATTTTATGTACACCAAAACTTGTTAACCGTACGAATATGATCATTCCTAGTGTGTTTTATCCCACGTTAAATTGTCTCATCTTGCAGGTGATATTTTGAGACTACTAAGGTATGTTAATTACTAATGCCTGTCACGTCTCGTGTAGCACAGGCCAACTACGATGGGTCTCCAGATAATTCTATCCTGATCTTTCCTTCCCAGTTGTTGTTAAGTGCTGCTCATCCTCTTGACGTCTGCCTTAGGTTCACAGCTCAGTCCGTTCTTTGATATACCTCTGCCATTCTCCTTGTAGATTTCAAGGTGAAGTTTGTATTGTTACAGTTTAGCGATTCCCGCAATGTTTCCTCTCCACCCTTTGCATTTTGTCTCAATTTCCTTTTTACCTTCTAGCTGGTTTATTCCTTACCATATGAGGTTGTTACTGATGGTGTTTGTTGTTGGTTTACCAAGTTTGTATTGAAAATTCTGACTCAAGTGTTGGTCGAGTTATTAAATTGTTTTGAAATTTTACTGTCTGTTGATTTCAAAGTTGGACGTCTACTAAATCTTTTATTCGGTTCAGTAACACTGTTGCGAACTTTTCCTGGTACTGATAGTAGTGTAATACCTCTGTAGTTTTCACAAATGCTAAGACTTCCTTCCTTTGGTATTTTATGAGGTATCCTTCGTCCAGTCTATCGGTATTTGTTCTTTCAACCAAATTTTCGGACTTGGATAATTCTTAGTTACCTCTATGTCTGACCTCAGTGCTTCAGGTGGTTTGTTGTCTGATCCTGCTGCTTTACCACTCCTGATTTGTCTGATTACCATGCTAATATCTTCGATCGTTGGTGGAGTAGCATCTATAGAACAGTCTGTTGGTCCTTTTTAGATGTCCAGTGAATTCACTAGAGCCGGTCTTTTCGAGAACTCTTCGACTCTCTGCTCGCCTTTTCCTGTGTTTTCATATCTTAGTGATTGGTTTGTGTTATTTGTTCTCTGGTTTACTATATTTTACAGCTAGATTCCTCATATCGTGTAGTTGTCTGAAAATTCCCTCTTTTACAAATTTTTATGCTGTTATTTCTAGATCTTCCGTATATTTCCGCTTATAGTAATGCTTCTCTTCACTTGCTTTTTGGCTTCTGTGTATGTCTTGTATATTTCCCTGCTCTTGATCTACAGTTGTTGATTGGTGTCTTCTTACTCTTTCTTTCAATAGAGATTTACTCCTTGCAATCCAGCACCCTCTAACATGTCAAAGTTGTTGCTTTTTAATATGTTTTAAGTTGTTCTTCATAGTAGAAAATCTTTTAAAAGTTGATACTTATTTCTGAGAGCTGTTTCGAATTCGTTTCTTTTGCCAGTATCTCTAAAGAAAGCCGTTTGAAACTTTTTCCAAGCTTTTTTCCCAGTTTTACAGTGCTTCTTTAGCTTCGCTTCACCTTGTTTACCACCAGGTGTTGATTTGATCCTATATTAGTTCCTCTCTTTGTTTTCACAGTTTTGATGAAGACACATAGATTTGCAAGCCTCCTGGTTTCTTACATTGTCTATACACTATGTACCTATGTCAGTTGTTACTCGGGTTGTAAGAAGGGGAATCGTTCTTGTGACCTCCGAAGAATCTCTCCTTCTTTCTCCCAGTCCGTGTCATCTCATAGTATCTAAATGTCTGGTAATGTCTTTTATGAACATAGCATTTAGTCTTCCATCAGATCGGTCAAATCGTTTGTGGGCTCACAGCACTGACAGCTTTTCGTTGTTATCGTCTCTTTGTCTTGAAAAATGCTGTGATGATCTTAGATCTATGGGATTCCCATTACGTAAGTGCTTCCCGTGCTTCTTTCGACAGCTTAATGCAACTCCCTATATGTGTGGCATTTTTTTCGTCATAGCTGGTATATAACAGCATTTCTTGAAGCTAATATTTTCTGTCCAGCTTATTTCCAATGACTTTCACTTACTTTAAGTACCCCCCTGGTTGTATGTTTTATTTCTGTTAGTTATTGCTCAGGTTGTAAGAAGGGGATCGGTCCTGTGACTCCCGAAGAAGCTCTCCTTTTATCACAAAGCCCCATACACTTCTAAAAATAGACTCTCCAACTTTCAGAACAGAGTTTAAATGGTGTAAATGACTTTTTATGGTTATCTTTTTTACAGTAGTGTTGTCGCTTTACATGATTAGGTCACTATACCCATACTCGACCCTTCTTTATTCAAGCTTTACACCAGAAGCAACCCTAGGACCCCAGTTTGATTTATCAGTTTACCTACTCATGCTCATTTGCCTTGTTTCTTCGGCGACAATTTCTCAAGTGAAGTCGTGGAGATCTAGTTTTGCACTACTTGTGTCGTCGCCAGCTTCTTGATGTTGAATATTTTTCAACCTTAACGGGGCTTGTTTTTTTTTGGAATCGTCTAATGGTTTTGTTGTATGCACATCTTATTTAATCTTTCAACGACAAACTACGTTTTACGTTTTAAATTCTTATCGAAATAATTCGTCAGCTGAATTGAACTAATTTCTACTAATGTTTATAAAATTATCTCCATGATTCCCCACTCTGATATAAATGGTATTATTCACACCTTTTTAACGGTATTCTGGGGATTACTTTGGTAAAAACATTCATATTCTGATTTGGGATTCCTGTCTATTTTTTTCGTAAACTACTCAGATGCTTTTTATTTCCATAAATCTCTCTCCTTATTTTAGGGTACCTGATCATGATGGTATCTGTCCAGCTACGCTTACTGGCATGGCGATTGATATTGCTGAAGGCTTGGCTTATTTGCACAGGAAAAATTTGATCCATCGTGACATTGCCTGTCGTAATTGTCTTGTTGGCTCTGATGGGGTTGTAAAAATCGGAGATTTCGGTCTTACTCGTGAAATGAATAGTATTGAAAACGAGGGTTATTATCGTTTTACTCGTAATTGTAAGTATTGGAGCAGTTCTTCGTTTATACTTGTTCTCCTTAAAATATTCGTAGACATAATATCATGATTGTTTTGTCAGAAGCTTAGTTTATGACCATTTCAAGTATTGTGATCGTTTGTCAATTGTCTTTGAAGGTATTTACTAAAAATGCCATGATGTAATTTATTTACTAGCTCCTACTGTTGTTCAAGATATTCTGAATTCTCAGGAATTTCTTTTCGATAGCAGTGGTTTGATGATTGAAATGATAATCTCCTTAATAATGTTTTAACTGTCAGAACTTCACTGTACTTTAGCTTGAGCAGTTAGGTAGTAATTCTCTCACGTGAAAATGTGGCTGAAACTCGAGCTTACACGCATTTTCTCCGTAGATAATTTACGATATAAATTACAACTTATATGCATAGGTACAACCGAGTAAGAAATGCTGTTGTTAGGAAGCGAGTGCTAGTAAAGGATGGCAGGTCAGTAGATGAAATGATGAAACTTCATCAGTTGAGGTGGTTGGGACATGTGTTACGTATGCCTAACCACCGACTGCCTCGTCGAGCTATGCTTTGCGATATAGGGATAGGCTGGAAGAAAGCTAGGTGCAGCCAGAGCAAAACATAGCGGAAATCCATGAAGTCACTGACAAGAGGACTGAGTCATTTCGGTAGGTGTCGACTACTTGGTTGGGGCCCGCGAGATGATAGTAATCAACGATTATTAGAGACCTTGAATGACATGGCTCGAAACCGTTCACAATGGTGCAGGTGTATCGATTTTTTGTGTTCTCAGGAACTGAGTTTCAATATCTGAAGTTAAATGAAAAGCATCACTTGTTAAATTGTTGTCAATACAATATAAAACTAAAACGCTGACGCTATTATAGACAAAAGCTGAGGGCACGTTTTTTATACTTCTATTACTATGTTAGAGACACAGTTACTTCCACTGTTACTAACCTTTTGGTTATTTACATTTAAAAGGTGAACTACCTATCCGTTGGATGTCACCTGAAGCTGTCCAGTTTGGTGTATTTAGTGTTCATTCTGATATTTGGTCGTATGGAATTGTTTTGTATGAAATTATTACTTTCGGAGTGTTTCCGTATGATGGTTTAGGTGATGTTGAAGTTGTGGAACGTGTAAAACGTAAAGATTTCAGCATAATCGAATTTCTTCCTTTAGCAGCAAGAGATACCATTATGTAAGTTTCATATTTTTTAGTTGTATGGATTGTTTTCGTAAACTGTATTGTTTGTTCACTAATGTACTATTTGTACAACCGTTCTTAGTTATTTTTCCCTACATTTTTTTCAGCTCTCGATTAATATATCAATGCTGTCAGCATCAATGGCAACATCGTCCTGCTTCACTCGATCATATTATTACTATTTTACGGAAAAATCCCGATTGCGTTCGTCCGTTTCTTACGAATGAACCACCAAAGCCAAATAGTACTATTGATGCCCTTCGTGTAAGTCATTCCTAGATTGATTTTTCGGGCTTGTACCATTCAAAAGTTATCATGTTCATTTTTTTGTCTCATGAAGATAATTATGATATTTTCCATGTGTAGTATTAGGACGAATATGTCCTAATGATTGGCTTTACAATGATTTTGATTTTTGTAAATAGCTAATTTATGATGTACGTACGTACAAAGTTCTACGTTGTAACTGACTGACTGAATTTATGGTCATTCATAAACGAACATGGTTTAAAAGATATCGTGATGGTGCGCTCACGCTTATTTTTTAAAATTTCTCAATTACAAATACACTTCTAATTCACTTTTATTGAATTGGAATTACGTATAGTTAATTGTATGCTCTAATGTTAATGGAAACGTTGACGTAATGATTCAGTTGTTCTTCCCCTAAGTCCCGTTTCGGGTTGGCATTTAGATGGTATCATTTGTCATGTAGACTCAGGTCAGCCGAATGCGATAAGCTTTAATGATTACATGAGAAGGCATTACTTTGAGCATCTCCTGAAATATGAAGATTGTCTTATGGTGTAAGTTTCTGACCGATTATCATTTCAGCTTCAGTCTTGTTGAGCCTACTTTGCCATGAATAGACACAGCTGTTTAATTCGTTTTATCATGTTTCACAAGTCAGTGGATCAGTTGCTACATTAAACTTGGTACGTACGTAAATCAGCTCAAGCTACCATGCCATAGAGTGGTTAAAATCCTAGAGTAGTACAAGTAGTAGCAGTATTATTGGTAAGAGGAAAAGATAGGGATATGAATCGACATGTTACAAACCAGCGGAATGAATTAAAAAGCTAAAAGAGGAAAAATAAATGTAAACAATTCAGATGCTATTTAGGGGCTCGCTGATTGGCTAGTACTACGCCAATCAGCGCTAGCGGATGGCTGCAGTACATTCTAGATTATTCTTGTGTAAGGATCATAAATATGCTGACGTTTTTAACACTATGATTCTTCCTCATTCATCTTCGTTTGTCGGGATGTAATTAAACTACTCGTTCAAACCGTGTTCCGATTTTTGGGTTTAGCTGATCGTTGTACAGTGCCGACGAATACTAAGCAATAAAATCGCTGGGTCGTTAAAGCGAGGTCATAAACACCACTGGTTACAATTATGGCACGGACCCAACCAGGTAGTCTACACCTATTAGCTTGACTTCAGTGGTACTGTTGGGGATGTTAGATCCCCAGAACTCGCTTGATAAATATCTTTATTTTGAGTTTATTTCATCGACCGACCAGTTGGTCTTGAGATCACATTTCCCATTTTAGTGTGCTATTTTTGTGACTGTCCCAAGGACGTCTCTATAGAGTATAAATAAACGCAATTCCAGTGCTTGGGTGTTTGTAGAATACACTTTAAGGTGAACTGGTAATAGTTTAAGCATACCTAGAGACGAGCGTAATAGGTACCCTATTTGTAACCTAGGTATTCCTTACTTGGTGATCACAAAATATGCCAGTAATGCTTCAAATACACTCATGATCGGAAAGCAGTAACCTACGAATGGTCATGCTTCATGGCCATTAATTAGATAGTGGTGAATTGTTGCGCCGTAAATCAATACAGCCTTCTCATAAGCATTATTGCTTATTGGGAGAACTTTTTTTCGTTTTCTGTATTATTACGATGTTCAGTATTTTCTCTGTCTTACTTTACTTCCTTTTCATCTCTTGATAAATGTAAAACTTGCTTCCTCAATTCCCTTCTCGTTTTAGTTTCAACCCGGTGCTGGCGCATGTATCATGTCAAAAAATACTCTTGCATCTGGTGATCCATCTCCAAGTAACGTAGTTACCTGTAATACTAACTCTGATGGCATTCATGGTTATTCCATAAGTTCCAGTATTCGAGGTGTTCTTAGTGCAACAGGTAGTTTGGGGGGTTCCGGGAAGTTTCCTTTGGCTCATCATTCTGCTGATTCTTTTTCAGAGAACCCTAACACATCTGCGCTTTTATCATTTTTATCCGAAGTTCCTTTGCAAAACTTAGGTCGACGTCGTCATAAGACCGCTGACGGTTCAACGACAACTTATCGTTATCATGGTATTCGTCGGGGTACTAGTTCTTCTTCCTGTGGTCATACGTTTCGTAGTTCAGGACACAGTTCTGGTGATCGTTCTGCTACCGACGATCAACCACATCTTACAAGCGAAGTTCTCTCATTCTCTAACTGGCATAAATTTGATTCTTTTAGTCCTAAATCACCTATCCCATTTGAAGAACGGAGGATAAAAAATTGTTCAAAAATTAGACATGGTAAACCGAGTCCAATTAGAAAAATATTTAATAGACAAACCAGTATAGGAGATGAGCTTTTGGAGTTGGTTTTACCAAAATATCCAACCGATCATCTTGGTGTCCAAGATCCTCTTAATCAATCTTTTATCGCACCTGTGAGTTATCCACAGGATGAGTCAAAAACTACAACTTCCCAAGGAGATATCACGTATGGATGTGAGCATTATCATGACGTTCAACAACATAACAGTTTAGCGTTTGTATTTAGGTAAGTATAGTTATCTGATCATGCTACATGTAATATTTTTTCGTTTGATTTTATTATATCGTTTACTTGTCATTTACACTGAAAAATTGGGATTCCTAGATGTATTTAAGATAATATAAATCATTTTGTCCTTACTTAATGATATAGTTCAAATCGGAGTGTTTGCTTTAGATTCCAGTTATTCCGCCTTATTTCATTGTTTTAGTGTCGGCTAACTTTTTTGTTGAGATTCAAAATATTCAAAGAACGAATTTCTGAACTGTGACATATATAAGTAGTTCTTACTTTGGGCGCTAAAAATTGTATGTTAAAAATACTGGGATGTATATCGCGTAAAATATGATGAATCTTGCTTTGAATAAACGGATTTGAATCGATATTGTTATAGTTAGAAAATAAAGGAAAGTCTAGCTTCATTTCAGAAACTGTTATATTCATTTACAGATTCTGATTCGAACTCAGTTTCCAAGAAAATTTAGACTTTCAGTTTGTTAGTACTTTTTCAAACTCTAAAGTCAACCTACTCATAGTGAATTATAACCACTAATCTGTACGTTTCCCATTCTATTTTTTTTTACTACTGGGGACCATTTGGATGTATCCTGTTAAATCACTTCAACAGTACGTTCGTACAAATGTGTACAGACATTAATGAAATTGGTTTAGTGTTTTCACTGAATGAATACTTTCAATCTAAAAGCTAGTGGGCTTATTATTATATTTTATACAGTCGATTAAGTCACTTTTTGTGTCTTTGACAATTGCATTACTGTATGCAATTTACTGCGTGGACTGTTTCAAAGGTTTGTTCATAAAAATACGCATGGTATACCTGATTTGTTGGAGAAGCTTAGCTTGATTGACTGAGATATTTATCATGAAAATCTTTTGAATACTACCAGTTCTTGTCTTCATTTTCTATCTGATCGATAGACTTTAATTCATTTAAATTCCATATCGTTAGATAACTTACAGGTATTTGCCTCTTAAAATATATGATAATTAAGTCCAAACACGTACTCCAAATATACACTATACACTGAGTGAGTGAGAGCTCAACCGATTTCTGAACCTTTAAGTAGCAGCATGGCGTATCATTGTATTGTTGTTCTTTATACGAGAAAACGTCAGTCGGAAAAGCGATTGTTTTGGTTCTTGTGTAACTGGATAAGAGACATAAGTTTTCCTGACTAACATTGATTCCTAGATTGCTTTTGCCTGAACATATGTTACTGGACCGTCACTGTATTGCCAACAGTACAGCGCACATAAAAAGCGCTCCAGATATCTGTTTCGCGTGCATTTCCAAATTTGTAATAAAATGTACATACATTTTATTTGAAATAGCCACTCATTATTTTCTTCTTGTCAACAAACTGCACTCACATCGTATCACTTTTCCTAACGAATACAAAGTCTGTATTTGTTCTCAACATATTTTTTTCAAAAGTAATGTTAGATCTACTATGTCTTGTTCTCCTACTGAAAATACTTCCAGCATTCTTCATTCTTTGTACCTCATTTTCACTCGCAGCGGTAAAAATAACTAGTTTCAGATTAATAACTTGATTGAATCACTGACCACTTTTGTCTCACGGCTCAAACCTGTGTTGATCATTCTGTTTCACCACAACGTGCTCACACTTCTCCATGTCATGTCCATCCATTTTCAGTTCAGGTGCTTTGGATAACCAAAGATCTACTTTTCCGTCGTCTAATGCAATTTCTTCTTCCACTGAGAAACTTTACAGCCACATCGAAATGAATAAAAATACAGAACATCAACCTGTTGCATGTGTTCTTGAAACTGTTTGTCAGAATCCTGCTTCGATAAAAACTGGCCTCAATTGTCACGCGTTTCATATTTCGGAGACAGAGCAGCCTACTACCGGTAATTTCTATGGTGTACCTGTCACGAATACATAGAAAAAACTCGTAAATCAGAACTATTTGTAATGTGTTTAGTCTGTTAACGTATTATACTTTTATTTACAATTTCCCGGTTTTAGATATCCTATTTCATCCCTACCTCAGCTTATGACCACAAGAAGTCTAGCATTGCAATACTTTTTTCGCCTAAGATTTCATTTATCCTCAATACATAATGACTATGTCATGTTAATGAATTTTTTTGAAAATATGTGACTAAATTACATACTTTATGATCCAGGAAAATGATATATTTTCAAAAAATTTTAAATCTCCATTCTTTATTAATGTATGGTGTACAGTTTGCCTTGCTTTAAAAGATATTTTCATTGCCTATGTATTGTTCACATTATATTTGTACGGTTCACAGATTTACATTCTACATGTAGTGTTGTGACTTATTAAACAGTTATCTTTGGTTTTGACAGGTATTTTATTCCATCTATGTAAATTTTGTTCAAAAAGGTATTGACAGATTTTATCCTCTCCTGTAAATCTGTTTTCGAGTTATATACTATAATGCGCCAACTATACATAACGAATAATTAATTTATTAGTCAGATCAAACTTAGATTGTACATAGTTGGTTTATTTTATTATATTAATTTTTATCTTATTGAATGAGGACTGCTTTTATATAATTTTCCTGTATAATATTCTCTGAGTTGTATTGAAAAGTCAGTTAATAGTTGTTTTTATCTGTAATGAGACTTTTCTTTACTGCCCTTTGTGTACCCTAAATTTGTAACTTCAGTAACTGTACCGAATAAACTTATAAAATTTTATGATGCCTCCCAAAATCACATCCAATTCATATTAGTTTCACTAACTTTAAGCCTTTTAGAAACATGGCGATAACTTGCTATGGATGTGTCTTTACTTCCGTGCTATGAGCTATGCTGCTACTGTCTTTTTTCTGCGATGTTAAGCTGATCTGGTAATATTTAAACATATAACATCAGTATATATGTAGTGTCCGTTTACGATCACCCATGTCAGTAATTTGTTAGAAGCACTGATGAAGTTAGTTCGTTTATTTTCATACAATTTACCTGTGTCAGTGTTTGTTTCCCTTCTGAGAAGCACCTTTTTCAACATATGTTGTAATTGTTTGTCTAAAACTGTTGATATCCATGGCAGTCCGGACGCCTTCAGTCCTATCCTTTGAGCAGTCTGATTTCGTTGATGTTGATTTGTATCGTCGCCCTTAAGAGCGCAAAGTGACATTACCGAGCAGTCATTCAGTCACAACGTAGAACTTCGTACGTTAGTGCATTAGTTACCATACCACATTAGCACAGAGACGTAATTTTCAGTCCGAATCCCATGGTAGTAGAAGTATTAGCGGTATTGGAGTAGATTAGGGTTCAAAGATATTATTCAAGAAGTGTAATTCAATGAGATAAATTTAGAAAGAGAAAGGTAGATGTGATGAATTCAGAAAATTAGGATTTCATAGTACACAACGATTTTGGGCCATGTCGTTCAAGGTCCATAACCATCGGTTACTATCATCTCATGGACCCCAACCAGATGGCCTACATCTACCAACATAACTCAGTCCACTTGTCAGTGATTTCATGGATTTGTGCCATGTTTTGGTTTGGCCGCCCCTAACTTTCTTCCAACCTGCTCTTACATCACCACTTCATCTATTGATCTGATATCACTAACTAGTACTCGTTTCATAATAACAGCATTGCCTACTCGATAGTCCTAAGATAAGCGAGCGATGCTTCCAAGACTCCAATGATCAAACACTAATAACCTACGAATATCAGGTATGGAAACAGCCTGGTTTTCTCTAGTCTTCTCTTCACAACCTCTAGCTAGGCGTTGGAGTATTATTGAGGCCATTATTTTGGATACTATATTAGTTTGTGATTGTCACAAGAGGACTTTTGTCCTTTCTTATTAATTGGGACAGTCGGGGATTGAGACCAGTCGGATGGGATTGTGTCCGGTTCCCAAATCCTACCTAAGATCTCAGCCAGTCTAACTGTGAAATCTGGACCACCATCTTTAAAAATCTCAGGTGTAAGCCTATCAGGCCGTGCTGCTCTCCTCCTTCTTCAGATTTTCTATAGCCTTTTCGACTTTATCAATAGTTGGAGGACTGACATCGATTTGCCTTTCAGGGTAACTGGGGATCGTGGGCAACCTAAGTGTGGCTGAATGCCAGTTGAACTGATCCCTAAAGTGTTCTACCCATCGATCCAATCTCTTGGGTTGAGAATGGATGATACAGCCATCCTTTTCTGAGATAGTTTCGCTTACAAATGGATTACTAACACCGGTTTCCTTTATAAGGCGGAACAACTGTCCGCTGTTGCCTATTGCCTCTGCCTTTTCCATCGCTCTGGCTTTCGCCACCCACCACTGTTCGTGGTCGTTACGTAGGCTTTTTATCAGCCTGCGCTTAAGCTGACTTCACTCTTCATCATGTTGACAGCCAGGTGGGATGTCTTTTCGAGCATCTATCAATTCAGTAGATGCTACTGAGATCCACGGCTCCTCCCCAACCGTACTGTTTGCCTTACTAATAGACGTCACTGCAGTTTCAGCAGCATTTTCGATATCATTCCAAGCTGCTTCGGAGTGGGAATCACTTACGTGTGTTGGGATAGCCAATCAAGAAGCCACCCACACACATAGTCGATTGATGAACTTATCGATTAAATGCTTAAATATTTCAAGGGCAGTCGATTGATGAACTATTTGATTAATGTTCAAATATTTTAACGACAATATCGATTTTATATATAATTGTATTAATACGCATGATTTTTTGTATATTTTCGATTCTGTTAATAAGTGTTCTCCAACGTCTTCCGTCTTCTTATTTTTGAACGGTGGGAGTCTAACGTTCGGTGTTGTCATTTGTACAGTGGTTTGGCGTTACTCAAGTAGAGAACATAAAACATGGTTGCCCAACTGTTTTTCCAATTGTTGCTGAAATATATTCATAGCTGTGCTATCATTAAGCAGAACCCTTATAGGTTTTCTTGCGGTGTCTTCCCTACGTCCGGTAAGTCGCAAACAAAAATGTGCTCGCACTAGAGCGTAATCTGAATCTAAACATATACACCATAACGAGCGACAATCTTCTTTTGAGTCCCTGTTAAATCTGTCGCAAAATACGTTTGTTTTGTGCTAAATCACTGCCGAGCAGCTTTCGTATTATCCGAACAATCACTAACAAGTATGATAGTCTGATACTAGCTGTGTTTGTGATGAGTAAAATTAATCAGACTTCAATTCCTGCATTCAACGTTTTCGGAGAAGGCACCCTTTTCCCACATAGTGAGTTTCATTAATGCTGTCCAAAAAAATACCTACAATTTTGTAATTTCATGGTGTTCAAATAAAGTTTTTGCAGCGCATCTTTCATCCAGACATCCATCTCGTAAAATTTTCTATATGTGTGAGGTAAATGCTATGCTTCAAAAGTAGTATTGACTTTCTATCTTGTTGAGATTTCATTAAATTAACTAAGTGTTTTGTTAACTGTTTAAATGTGGTTGATACATAATCCTGCTCTAAGTGGCTACTTTCGTGTAGATGCCTGTTCGGTCAGTTAGAGAAAACGAATTAGATTAGCATTTGTTGAAAGTGATGGAGTGTTTTGGAGAATTACGATATGGACTGTCATGAAAACTGAAGTCACCATAAAATACCACTTCGCCAAAGAAATGTTCGTTGGCCAACAGGTCGCAATGATAATTATGTTTTTTTAAAACCTCTGGGGATTGAACTCTTCACCTTCATTTGTCAGATATTCGATTCAGCGTTTATCTGATTTCAGCCTTCTCTAATTTGTTGATACCCGAAGAGACTGGTATTCACTGATCAAAGCTAAAAATGTATGTACTTGAAAGAAGCCATAGAAAATACTAATCATAGGAATAATTAATGTTCGTCTCTGTATTTACTAAAATTATTCGGTGTATAGATCACCGTAGATAATTTTTGCGGTTTTTTTCTTTCTATCTAAGCATTTACAAATGACTTATGTGATTGGCATAGTGAAATGAGGCTCGAGTGTTAGAGATTCGTTCTATATTGTTATCTACCATTAGGTACGTTGCAGGAAAAATGCTGAGTAGTATGTTCTGTGTACTACTGCTCTCAAATCATATTCTAGAATTGAATAGTCATCTTAGAAAAAGCAAAGAAATTAAAGCATTGTGTAATAAACTTTTGATCAGCTTGATGATATCCTTCATACTCTATGATACAAAGTATGTTTTTCTTTAAAAAAACTAGTTTATCGTTTACCTTATATATGTTCTAATGTGCATAAGAGGAGCTTATTTCACGAAATTCGCACTCATGTACGGTGTTTCTGCCAACAATTTAAGGTAAGATAGTATGCATACACTTGTTTCACCAGTACAAGCCATTGACGTCTAGGTCTAGGTAAATTCTGTCGTAACATAATGTGAAGTGATACAATTACTGACGTATATTTGAAAGATCCTAAATGAACAGTGTGAACAAATCGGTCTTAATACGTTCTCATCAATAAGTGATATGTGATTGAGAATTCTGAAACTCCTCACAAGGGGTATCATAGGATAATATTGTCATTTCTACATTCATTTTCCCTTGTTTGAACTCCGACTTTTACTCAGGACTCTTGCAACCATGCTCCACATTGTTAAAGTTTCGTCTTGGCTTTTATTACTTGACTGAAGTTGGACTTATTATATTTGTTGTATAGTAGCAGACCATTTAAAACATTCAATATATTTTTCACGAGCTAGTATAAACCAGTCGATTTCTTCGCGTTCGATTCTTTTTCGTTTGCTACCGGTTCAGCTACTTGGTGGTGTTTCAATAGTTTGTCTTTGTCCATGGTTAGTTGATGACAGTAATCAAACTGTAATAGTTATTATTCACGAAACCATTTCGGAACATATATACGACACAAAATGAATGAGCGAAGATTCTGGATAAAATGAGGCACTAAGTGATTGATGGGATAAACTGCTATG